AAAAGTGGTCTTAAGTAATTAGAGTTAGACCTGTATTAATATTATTAAATTACCTTTACCAAAAGAGCTCCATTTTAACGTCATTCATAAATAACTAACTGCATACAATACTAGCGTTATTATACGAAGGAGTAATATTTAGTACTTTTTTCATTATTTTAGGCTAGTCTAATTATTTATTTATTTTTCTTCAATATCTTAGCTATGCAAGTCAATAGGCCTAGGCTAATTCATATGTCAAGTTTAAAAAAACAAAATGTTAATATATATTTATAATATATATAGCTAATTTTTTGTTTAATGTCAATGCAATATTTTACCTTTCTCTATCCTTTGGAAATCGATATAAATTATGACCCTGTTTATATGATGTGTTGCAATTTACTGCACAGCAACGCCCTCCAATACCGTACGTCGCCTTAGCGCATCGCGGTGTACAATTTTTTAATTGAGAATTGATAATAAAATACGCGATGAATTGGTAACGAAAGTTTGGCACAAGTTTTTTTAGATACAGCTGTAGGGGGCGTCCCATTTTTCGTATTCCCACCATGCATTTCGGTGGAACACGGTGGAACACATTATTTGTGTGGAGAACTCTATCTTGTATTTCTAGTATCTTTTTTTGTTACGCGTAAATCGCAAAAACGCGAACTTGAACAATATAAACGGAATGAAAGCAGCACTTTTAAAACTAACTTGTAAAATTAATTCTTTAACTTTCGCTCACACAGTGTACAGTCTCCGTATGAAGTTCATTTTATATTGTTTTGTAGTAGACTAATTTTATTCATCAGAACTAGTAGTGACTGAAAAAATGTCAAAATATGTTACCACAAAATAATTATGAATATTTAAAAAAAAAAAATCGTTTTCATTTTACCAATTCTTATGGAATATCTGATAGAAAATAAAAGCCTCTTAAAAAAGGTAGAATAAAAATAATACATGCACCACCGGATACCATTATGCTACGTAATGCATCTAAGTAATTTCGAAGTTATATTGACCTTATTGACCTTATTGGGCGTTAAATACAAAGAAAGGATCATCATGTACAACATGTAGCATAGCGTTATACTAATTATTATCACCAAACATCGCATAATTAGAACAGCACCGCTAAAATTAGTAAAGTGGAACCAGGGAACAGTCCCTGGTGGAATCGATGTAGCTTGATGGTTAAGTTGCTTGTATTTCAATTCCAGGGTTCTGGGTTCAATTCCTGTGAGAGTAGGATTTTTTCTAAAACAACTCCACTCCCTAAGCATCATTTTGAAAAAGCATAAAATATGGGCCATGTAGGGAGAACAGCTATATCTACTGGACAGGAAACCCATTATAAAGAAGAAAGAAAGCAAAGCCTATAACGTTGTTGAGTAAGAATAGACATTGTCAGTAACGAAAATATTTGCTACTGTCAACAAATTAATATTGAGTGGGATTTGTTAAGCGCATACTAATTCACCAATCTTATTACTTATATAGCGCTTTCCTTTTTGCCACCATCTTTCTCTGTCACTTCAATAGCCGTCGTAACCTGGAACAAATCAACAAGATGATAATCAGCATTTTATTACAAATATCTTTTCTTTGGACATTATTTGTTATACATCTCTAGCAAAGAAATATGCATAATCTCTTTAATAGATAAGCTTGCAAATAGCTTTCCAATTTGAAAGTAGAATTGTAATTTATTAGGCATTCTTGTACGTAAACAAACCGGTTTCGAGGACAGAAGGACCATCAATATTAAAGCATTTACGAAAAGAATATGTATTTATAATCTCACATAAAGGTAATTATACTAGCTTCATTATGATAGACATGCATATAGTACTGAGGCTTACATGCATTAAACATAAAAAGAGAATATCGCGTACGAGTAAGATGCTTTCCATGACGTAATTGCAAAAATGATAAAAGAAAAATTGTCTATAGTTCCGGCATGACTAAATAAATTGAAATGCTCTTATGAATAAATAAAATACAAAGCATGAATTAACATGAAATACAATAGGCCTATATATAACAATGACTATTAAATAATTTTATGAGAGTCTGTCCGGGACGATTTCAATCTCACTTAACTTGCCGTTCAGTTCTAGGCATTAATAACTTATTTGATATAGAAGCCCAGAAAAAAATAATGATAACTAGGATTATGGTAACAATGATGTATGTTGACTATATTGTGTAATGATTTGAGTAAAAAAAATCGATCTCAAGCCTAGGATCAATGGCCACTAACAGTGCCGGTCAGATTGGACAAATTTACAAGCAAAAATATCAGTTTTGATTTGGAATACCCTATTATTGAGTGGTTTCTATATTTAGTTTTATGAGAGTATTCCTCTAGAGAGTAAAGCAATCAAGTCATTGGGAGGAACGGTTCTGATGTTCTGGAACACAAATTTCAATAATTTTCAAAATAATAGAATTGCTACTAAAAGGATTTGGATTGATGAATTTTCAACCGAGTATATTTCTATAGCTGTGCCACGGAAAAAAAACAACTTTGAGTCATTGGGTGAGTATAGTCTGATGACGTAATGCTGTTAGCATGAGCACTGGTATTAAAAGTATGATACCTTTACGATAATGACGTGACAATACAATCAAGAGAATCAGTCATGCATCAGTTTATTTGATTGACAACTGTTCTGTACACACACCTGCTGGTTCTCAGCTCGCTGTCTCCGTAAATCAGACTTTATGAATGCTGCGAAGGAAACAAAATAATAGTAATATTAATATACGGTTCACCCTTTAATTTAAAACCCCTCCATCTGAGACTCCTCTAATTATAGACCAGTTTTTCAAAGTACCAACTGATCACCTGTCTCTTAACACTAAGCTCACTCACTAATTCGAGACGGTGACCACCTTCCCAAATGACAACATGACCTCTATACCAGACCACCTTTGGAAAAAATCTAACCAGACAAGTTTAAAACAATACTACCGTTACTTTTTAATGAATGTGTATTCAAAAATTAATATAGCGATTCATTTTAACATAATTATCTCATATTTAACAATGACAGAATGCTTCCATAGTTTTCAACTTTGAAGTTTTGAAAACTGAGATTTTTGGATGAGTCCATCCAATGGAAGAAGCCAATGGTCCCGGTATTCTGTCTGTTTTAGTACTTTTATTGGAAGAGGTTACCTGATATATTATGTGCTACAATATTTGGACACTATTGTAATATGGATTTTTCAAAGACAGTAGAGACATAATTAAATAATGTTCACTAACCAAAAATTATAAATTATTATTTTTTTTTTGTCTTAGACAGTCACACAAAAAATTACTTTTCTTTATTGATCAAACCAAACAAGTCACTGACTCTATTGACAAATTTCCAGTTTTTTAACTTTTCTCAATGGCAGTTTTTCCTCACTAGGAGGCATTTTCTATTCCCTACTGAGATGCGGGTCTGTCATTGGCATTGGCATCAGTGACCGGATGTGTGAAAATACGGTTCAGGGGCAGATCCAAATTGTTTTCAAACGGGGGGGGGGGCACAACAGTCTCAGAATAGGTATGTGAGTAGCACATAACATTGATTTGCATTGAAAATTTTTTAATTTAGTGGCAAAACGGGGGAGGGTGGGTACATGCCTCCTTGCCCCTATTAGATCGGTCCCTGCTGTTCAAGTTGCTAATAAACTTAAATATGTGTACATGTATGTGTATATATATGTGTATAATATGTATGTGTTTATATGTATGTGTATATATGTATGTGTATATATTTATGTGTATATATGTGTATATATTTGTATATATATATGTATGTTTGCAGGTTCAAATCCCACCAGAAACACTTTTTTCATACAATTGAAAAAGGAACTTTTGTTGGATGGTAGCCATTTAAATTTCAATATGGCGGCCATCTGACATAATTTATGATGATTGCATGATACTATGTACATGGTTAAAGATTTGATTGACTACGGTATGTTAGGTTTTGTAGACATGAAGTTGACGAAAATAATAATAATAATAATAATAAATAAATGCTTAAAGATATAAGAATTATTGATTAAAGAGATAGGTTTTAGTCCTAAGGAGGGTCTTGAACGTAGTTCAGAAGTTGATTTAAGATTAGGTGGAAGAGAGTTCCATAATTTCGGAGCGGCAAAACAAAAAGACCGTTCGCCAGTACAAATTTGCAGCGTTTTGGGAACAGAAAATCTGAGATAATTTGTCATGTGGAACGTAAATTGTGAGATTGATAGTGTAAGAAAATAGAGTGGAGCGTATCTATAATAAGCATTTATGAATGAGTAGAATAATTTATACAAACATTTTGGCGGCTATTTTGAAACCCAATTTGCAGGCCATCTGATAAAATTTCTGATGATTGCACGATGCTCCCTGATATTGAAAACATGAGTAAGGACCTTTGAATGACAGTGCTGGGTGTGCTGTAGATAGGATATATTGATAAAAATCAAATATTTTGGCGGCCATTTTGAATTTCAAGATGGCGGCCACTAGGGGCGTTATTTTTTGGAGTTTATTTTTTAATGATCCTTATTTGTCATAGTACTAATGTGGGAAGTTTCATGCTTCCTGTAAATGTGCACGATTATTCTCCTTAGCCGCTCTACTTATTAACTACATTAATGATTTGGTCATTTTGAAACCGAGCACAGAATGAAATTCAAAGAAAAAAATTAATATTAAATTCATGATTATTAACAATTCATTTGGTTCCAGTTGCTAAATAAGCTTTGAGGTTTGGCGTGAAGTCGGGGTTCAATCCCTTGATGGGCATTTGCTTGTGTTGTTGAGCAAGACACTTTATCTGCATTTCTTCTCTCCGCCCAGGAGTATAAATGGGTAACCTGGTGGAGTTGCCTGCTCCTGCACTGATTACCAGCAGAACACTTAGAGTGTAGACCCAATGACCAGGAAAAAGAACTGCACTTTATAACCTCAAGGAAAAGGCGCATTATAAATTAAATGCCCATACCAGTACCAGATATCAGTACCAGTAACACATTGATGATTCAGTCATTTAAAAGCCGAACACAGAATTTAATTAAAAGGAAATAAATATTTAACTCTGTTAAGATAAAAGATATGTTTAAATTTGGTTCCAGTTTCTATAATATAGTTATAATTAAAACTTTTTGGGGATTTTATTCTGTTGGTGAATAATTTCTATGTTTCTAACATCAATCTTAAACCCGGCCCTTTCTTCAGAGATCAATATTATACGCCCTCTTCTTAAGTATTTTAAACGACACGAAGAGATCGCCAAAATAATAAATATAAAATGATGCACCGCGTATTATGATTATATAGAGAGGTTTTGAAAATAGTTGAGTGTTTTTAAGAAACCTTTAAACTCAATTAGTAGTGTACGTTGGCGTGTGTGGCCGCACCTTTCCCAGAGTAAACAGGATTGGTACAAAAACATAGTATTTGTATTATGTTTGTTGTTTGTGATTTACTGGTGTTCAGATGAGATGAAGTGGGCTCATTTTTATCCTGGCTTCCAGGCCCTAAATTTGGATGTCTCAGTAAATTCTGTGAAATATAATCCTTTTATTGCGATCAGTGCACCACATACCGAATTTAATTGGCATTCCATACTCTGTTTTTTGTTCGAATTTTTATTAAGTACTATGTGTGTGTAAAATCTGGTAATTACTTTATCGAAACTGAAATGACAAACCTGTTATTATTGTCCCAATTAAAATTGCAATGCACAGGAAGAGATTTCCTGCAAGCGCATTGATATTCGACACAAGCGCCCCCATTGACATTGTAAATACAATCCCGAACGTCTGTAAAAAAATAATTAGTTAATTTTCAACAATATAATATTCTATTTATATTCCAAAACATAAAAATGCGTAAATGATTAAATAATATTCCTTTTCTATCCGACACACTTGCTTTAATAAAACATCTCAACATTGTGTAAGATATTGTCTGTAATTGAGTAAATAAATATTGAATTGTATAAAATGCTTACTTGTAGGCCTACTTTATATACTTAAGACTGCATACGTTATTAGCTTAGAATTAAATACAGTTACAATCAATACAACATTTTGAAAATCAGTAAAAATGGAATTATTTCGATCTTCGTCTCATATTGGAAGCTAATATCTGATTTGATAAAAACAAATTGAAGCACAATGTTTGATTTTTAGGTTAAAATTACCTGAGCCGCCGCGTTAAGTAACCCAGATGATGTTCCTTCCGGCTCCGGATACGTCAGTTCCGCTGCGAATTCGAACCCGAGTGGTAGGTAACCCGTCATAAAGAATCTATGAAGAAAAAAAAAGATGAGTGAGCCGACTGAAAGTAGCTTCTCCCATGAGTTTCATACCATGAGGATAGCCTTAGGATCGGTTCCAAGTTTCGAAACTTACCCCAAGAATGAAGCTACACCAAACACAACCCAGATTTCACTGAGGTACAGCGTAAACGAAAAGAATCCCATCCCAATTAGAGTCAAAACATAAACGACCACAGTTGTACCCCTAAAATGTAAATAAAATCAATACTATTTTAATGATAAGAAACAATTTCATTTCATTTTGTTTTATTCAGAAATTAATATCACAAAACATTTCTTAAAATACAAAACAAAAACAACGAACAGATATTATAACGAGCTGACATCCTTAAGGTAACCCGAGAAAGTTTTAAAATATAAAAAAACTAATTTTCACTGGTCCTCAATAAGATGAGTTAACATACATGATTAGTTATAAATATTGCTTAAACTTTCATAATTTGGGTTTTTCCACCAGACGGTGACTTGTCAACGGAAAATAACATGAAAGCAAAAAAAAAAAAAAAAAAAAAAAAAAAAAAAAAAAAAAAAAAAAAAAAAAAAAAAAAAAAACCAGTCTACATCAACTCGTATTAAATAATGTAGGCAGTTATTAGGCCTACCTGTATGTTCGCGTTCTATCCAACCAGTAACCCATAACAGCCGACCCTAGAAGACCAGCAATTACAATTGCTAAGCCTATCAACCCAACCATCTGTTCTTCACCCTGGAATAAGATTATACCCCCAAGATATAAAGTACGCGTTTCCTCCTGGGTTTAAAAAGGTGAACCGTGGATCACATTTTGTTGTCATCGTTGTCACGTTATCATCATCATCATCATCATCATCATCATCATCATCATCATCATCATCATCATCATCATCATCATCATCATCATCATCATCATTATCAATTTGTGGTTTTTCTCCCCAACGGTGCCCTCTTTACCTCGGCCCTCACTGGCGCCACAGCTGTCACCGTCATTATCATCATTGTCATCGCCATCATTTCGTTGCCATTGTCATTATCATCAAACCACCATCGTATTATCGTCATCATCATCTCTATCATCATCATTATCATCATACCGTTATCATTATTAACATCATCATCATCCTAATCGTCGTCGTCATTACCATCATTACTACCATCATCATCATTATTATTTAGTTAATGATTTTATCATTTTATTAATTTTAGATCTATAACATCATCATCATTATAATTATTGTGCTTTTTATTACCATTACCACCGTTTCCATGCCTTCTATGACTTGTTCATAATAAATTGTGATATTTTAAAGCATTTACATGACGATTATCGTGTGCAATGATCAGAAACAAATTAAAGAGTTATTACTTACGGGGAATTCAGAGAGAACGATCTGATTAAGTAGAGTAGATACGGCGTAAAATGATCCCACGTTAACGCCTAAACAGACAAGCAATACCGTAATTTTTAAGCTCGTACATAGTAGTAGGCCTAATCATTTGTTGAACCATCGTATAATAACCCCGCAATTTTAGAGTGCATTTCATACCCGGAGATGCTACAACTTAACCCAATTTAAGTGTTAGAATCGTGGTGATGGTGTTATTTTGCTATTGTTTAGTTTTGGGTTATGGATACCCGAATGGTGGCGCTAAACAGTTTTACTTGACAGTGAAGCTCGCAACAAAAAGGGTATAGAATTGTAGTTATATACTCGCAATATGTAGGCATACCTGGCCTAGTACAGAAATAAGAAATGCATACGAAAGTGTATTAAATAAAATAAATCAAAGAGGGCATGTGCCGACTTCATTTCTATCGGTGAGAGAGCAATACTCCAGTGAAAGGTCGACACAACAAATAACAGTGAGACCCGTTGACTTTCGGGTACTGGGCCAATCTGAATCCCTGACGTCATTTGTACTTCCTCTCCTGTCATGTGTTCTCGCTGCTTTCGCATAATACAAATTACTATTAAGTAGTTGGATAATAACTAAAGTGAAAAAACTTATTAAACTCAAGCTCCAAAAACATCAAAACCGCTGATTTGTTTTTTAAACGACGCTTCGGCCCTGGATCTCGAGTTAGGCCCAGGCACCCCCTAACCCTCAGCCATTTAACAGATGCAATTTTGCTAAAAAATAATATGGGCCTAATACCATCAGGCAAATGATCTGCCTATATTCTATCTGATAATCGCATACCGTAAAACCTCGAATTGAAGCCCAGTGGGCTTAATCTCGAGATGAAGCCCATCTCGAATTGAACCCCCCCCCCAATCTTTAGTTTGCAAAATTAGCCTCGAAAAAAACCCATATTGAAAATAATCCCATGGGCTTCTTTTCAAGATAGCATATGCTTCTTTTTGAGATAGTACAGTATATACACTGTACATGAATTTCAAAAAACAAAATAAATTAAAAACAATCTTGGTTTATACAGTAGTTCAAGTGATTTAATCTCAGTTATATACACTCCAAGTTACAGATTGATATTACAGTGGCCGTATTTATTGTTTTATAGTACAAATTCGCAGTACTCATTTTGAAAAGAAGCCTCCTCTCTTTTACTATGCAAAAGTAGCCTCGAAAAGAAGCCCATCTCGAAATGAAGCCCATCTCGAAAAGTAGCCCATCTAAAGTTCGCAAAAAAAAGAAGCACAGGCCTTCAATTCGAGGTTTTACGGTATAGGCCTATTATACATAGGTCTAAAACAGTAGGCCTTATATTTATATTAATACATAACAACATGGTGATACATGTAAAATGGAGAAGTTCAATATATTCCTATAAATTATAATATTTATTTAAAAAATGATGTTTAAAATTATTAGTTTATCACCCTATCAAAGAATAAAAACTGATGAGGGAGAGAGGTTTTTTGTTTTTTTTTGCTAACCATGCCCCCATTTTACCGATGTTCAGAAGTAAATCAATGGTTAGGGACACATATATAAACAATGGTAAGAAAGGAATCAAATTTATATTAAAAAAATATGTTTTTGTTGTATCAGTAAACATATTCCTGAAAGTGAAAAAAGATGGAAAAACGACCATTTGAAATATATGTTGATTGACAAATTAAAAAAAAAAAATGAGGCCTTATAGTTATGTTGTCTATGTTTAGTGTAGATGCTCCTTTTGAAATTTTGAAATTTTAAAAAGAGTTTAAAAACTCTTTTGGAATTTGATTTTAATTTAAGTATCTTTTGTAAACTTTGCTTGTTTATATTTCTTGTAGGCCTATTGATTGTTTTGGACGGATGCCTTCTATTGTGAAGTTTGCCATTGATGTATTGTAAAATAATACATTACTATTTTTTATTAGTATTCTCACGAAGGTCCTCTTGAATAAATGTCATTTAGTATCTGTGGTAACGCTTTTCCTCCATTCTGGCGAATGGGAAGCAGCTTTTATCTGTTGTATTTAAATTCATTTAACTAGGGTGATTTTTTTTCCTTTTACTATTACTTATAGAGGGTGACCCATTCATCGTATCCTGATTCTGGGGCCCTCTTTAAATAACTGAAATAATATAATGCTTTTATCAGCGAAGTCTCTTTATGAGGCTTAGGGAGTGGAGTTGTTTTTGGTCGTGACAGGAATCGAACCCAGGACCCTGGAATTAGAAGACAAACATTTTAACCACTCAGTTATTCAACTCTACTGCTAACAGCCATGCTTACTTAAAATGGCAAGTTCCACAAATAAAAAAACAAACAAAAAAACAACAATATCAATTAAAAAAATATGCAGCAAGAAGAGGAAAATTCAATAAATAATCAATTTATAAGAACACTGGACATGAAATAGTACCATAATTCGTATTTACAATATTTTATTAAAGATTTCAAGTCAAAACTTGATAATCATATTACAATTGAATATATAACTAAATAAATAAATTCTCATTTTTTTCCTAAAATTTACAATAACAAACAAACAAATTCATAACCATAACAATAATTAAAATGTGCATACAGTTCACTTTTAATTGGAATTTGGAAGTTTTATTTGGAATTTGTTTCCAATTATTTTTACTTACAGGGCACATGCCTCTTTCAATTTAAATTATATTTACTAAAATAGTGTATATACATATAATACCTTAGATATTTGTTAAAAATTATATATTTTTTATTGTTATATTGTGAAAGAAATAAATGTTGATTTTATTTGATTTGATTTGATTTGACTTCAGAAGATCTTTCTCGGAAGAGCGTACTGTTTGTATTGTTGCTTCAAGTGTTCCTCGGGTCCCAAAGATATCGGCCCTGGGGACCGCTACTATTCAATGTTTATGTGTTAGACAATTGAACAGGAATCAGCTGGATTGTCTCCCAGTATACAGAAGATACTCTGCACTCTTGGGTTATTAGGTCAACTGCATGATATTGAATTATGTATTATACCTTTCATAATTCTAGGTCTGTGCGCTGTCGTCTAGTTGAAACGTTCATAAAAATGTTATACAAAATGTTTCTGCTAGATATTTATGGGTGATTATTAATGGAAGGATTATACTGGTGAACATGTTGAAAAAACTAGAACAGATTTTGAGATTTTTGTTAAATGCTTGACCATAGACAGTTCATGGTACATGAAATTTAAATCGATAATTAGCTCGTTTTGGTGTACTGTTCTCTTTTTTTTCCTATTCTTCTCATTTTTTGGGGGGAGGGGAGGGGCTAGACCCGTTCTCCTGGATCCACCCCTGCACAGAGTGCCTAGACAAAATTGCTTGAACTAACGATCTGAAATCTTCAGAATTTCATTCATTTTCAAACTTTCGGAAGGAGGTTTCGATGACATGTTAAAGACAACCTTCTGCTTCAGTCAAATGGTGATCATAATAATAACATGGCTATTATTTATCGCTTACATTTTAATTAATCTTAACGTTTTAACGTTTCTCTTGGTTGTGTCAAAATTTGATTCGACAATATTGATTTTTGTGCCTTTTTTTTATGATGTTTCTTCATTTTTATATATATGTAACGATGCTTTATGCTGATTTGTTTACTGCTTAATCTTTACTACATTAAAAAAAATCTTGAATTATGCATAATTTAATTATGTTTTTATAAGTCTTCTGAAAGACGGGAAGCTCCCAGACAGTGAACTTTAATTTACTTTTGAGCAATCCAACCGGGTTTTATTAGCTTGTTTTTTTTTTTTTAATATGTGCCAGTTTTTTGTTTGTTTTTTACATTTTTTTTTATTCCTGTGTGTCATTGTATTCTAAATGTTTTTTATTGACGACATATATGACGTTTTTATTGATGACATATTGATATGAAAGATTTATATTTAATACTTCATATATTGTGTTTTGTCTTTGAACATCAAATAATTCAATGTAATTCATATCAATGTCTGTATATTAATTGACAATGACATTCGTGACAGCAAAAAACACTGTATTATCTGCCGTATAATACAACGGGACATATTTGTGGTTTATGTATGAGAAACTAGATCATAGATATGCTGTAAAAGACTTTAAAAACTGTGAAGTAGTTGTTATGTTGTACATAACCACGTGACTTACCATAAGTTATGACCAAAAACACAAAGTTTCTGTTATGTAGAAGTGTGTTAATAGACTGCATGTAAGTCGTCTCCTTGCCGGCCTCGTGAGATTTCTGTCGTGCTTTGCTCGGAGGAGTTGGGGGCTCAGCTTGGTAAACTGAAACAAATTAAAAGATAAACCCCAGTACAATCAAATTGTTGGCAGTGCCATAATTGGTTCTCTTTAGTGAAATAAATATGGTGATTATAGAGGAAGATGGACGAGTGCGTTTCTGCAGGTCTGTGTCCGACAGCAAAAAAAAAAAAAAAAAAAAAAAAAACTTTTCGTATAGGCTAGATTTTAATCCCACCCCAACCTCGCCGCTCTGCATTATCCGTTGCCAAAATCCTGGTTTTCTTTTTTCTTTTTTGCTTCGTTAGCAGTCAATAAATATATCATGAACATTGATAATTCACAATCGGTAGAATGGGGTTGGGGAGGTGAACACGTATGAGAAATTAACATGCGGCTCTTTCAATATGTCATTCATATATGTCTGCCGATGGTAATAGGTTTTCAACTTTTATGTCAATTTGGGTAGTCCTTATGTGGATACGACATCCGAAGAGTAGGTTGAGGTCAATGTAACTCCATGGTTAGGCCTTGTTGTTGGCCAAATTCAATTGTATCTTTCACAATATATACGATCCACTCGCTGGTATACAAGATGGAACGATCATTGTAACGTTATAAGGCTTAGATTACCCTAAAGTCGTAAGGAAAAAAATCCTGATCGTTTATTGGATTTGAACCTGGGGTTCAATATGATCGCACTGTTAACAATGGGCTTGAATTGAACATATTACTTACAGAAAACAACCAAGAGAAATAACACCGAAGTAATAATGGCGGTTCCTAGGAACATGTTACGCATGTGTTTTTCTACATTCTCGTCATTGGGTACTAGATACGGTGGTAGCACAAAGCCTAAAGCAACACCAACCTGAAAGAGAACAATAAAAACAAAATGAATGTTATTATCAAAATGTGGTCGAACCTCTTCTAGAACTTCTCTATTCAGGGAATATCCATATTCAGGGACACCCTATTCATGGAACACCACAGTATAAGGCTGATGCTTTTTCGCACACGAGAGACAAAGCCATTGACACTACAGCCAACTTTAACATGAGGGACCTCTATCGAGAGGACGGGTACCATTCAAATTACGCCATGATGGTGTTCTTAATAGGCTGCTCGTGGGCTAAATATGGCCCGCAGATTAGTTTAATTTGGCCCACGAGAAAATTCAACGATATAGTCATTCGATGAATACATTTTGAATAAAGTAAAGACAAAAATGCAACCCACGGGTTCGATTTTACGGGAAAACATTTTTGAGATGTTTCGAAAATTAGAAAGCAATAATAGGCCATAAATAGAATATAGGCCTGCAGGCGTCAAAAACATCGATCGCTGGATGAAACCCATGGTGATAAAATTAATTGTTAAACTATAGGTAATCACAACAAAATTCAGGTTATGTTTCAATATGTCTATTTTTATTGGGTTTTATTGTGCATAAATGTTTTGTTTACTTGGAAATTGGTATAATTAAATATTGAGGACAAACCCACAATATTGAGACGTTAAAAACAAAAGTAAATAAGTTATTCGGCTGTGGTGAGCCTTGTAGTGTAAAATAGGTCTAAAATGATTACTTTATGTTAGACATTTCGCTTTTCATGAAATTTGTAAATCAAACAGTGCTTTACACCAACTTTATGTGCCGCCAATTTTTGTCTTTCTGTTTTGTTCTGTTCACCCTTTTCATCAATAGTATTTGCACTAAATTGTTAATAAAACTTGGTGTACAAAACAGTGCTAAAAAAACAAAGGACATCTCGTACAATGATGAATATTGTTACGAGACGTTAAAGAAAGGAGTTCATGTTACTTGGATTTTTCCAAAACAAAATGTATCCAGACTCTAAACCAAGACTTTTTTTTTACTGGAATCAATCATATTTGTAAAACGATCCCAAACCTGACTAACGACTATTAAAATCATGACACTTCCCCCACCTCCACCTACAGTTTTGATATGAGATTTATGAAAATAGAAGATGATCAATTATCAATATTATTCTATACTATTAGGAAATATGATTTTCTTATTACATTTATTCATATCGTGACACTTCATCGATTAATGCTATCGGCGATAGCAAGGGTTACCAGGAGTCAAAGGCAAAGAACCTGTCAAATTAAAGTTAATTACAGATTGAGTTGTACAGATTGAGAAGATCGTTTATTCACAACTTAATGCACAATGCTGATTTTAATAGCTAGACTAAAAAACTCTTGTAAATATCATATTCTATATATGTATTACTTATGTCCTTCGATTATTTTATGTCTAACTTCTTTATTAGCTTTTCATAGGAAGACGAATTTTACTTGTATTTCATTTACAAAGTGACAATAAAAGAACTTATATCTTGTAATTACTTTCGCCATTTGTCATTACGCTAAAGCATACTTTCACATCCTATTGAGCGTGTCTTTTGATTATACTTTACAGTATCTCCGTGCTGCAATAAAAAAGCTCTATGTCTTTTGAAACAGGCCTATCAATAAACATCAAATAGGCCTAACAACAGCACGTGGGGTGGAGACACTGATGTGATGCAAAAGACCGGCGTCATCGCTACATCATTACAAAATACTAAGCCGTAAAAAAAACCCATTTCTGTAACATTCTATAATACAAACATATAGGGGATATCATAAAAAGTTTTCCGAAAAGCCATATTATTTGCAAATTTAAGAACATTATTCCTGCACATAGGGCCTACTTTTATATCTTAATTGCCACATAGCTACTAAGGATTTCTTTTGTAGGGTGATGATATATTAAATACACATTAAAATGTTACATAAGTTCGTGTGCAGTATAGGCCCTATACAAGTTCACCCATAGGTATAAGATCAGCATGCCATTTTATTCTTCTCACAATTTATGATTTAAGTTGTGTGTGTGTGTGTGTGTATGTAGGCCTATATATATATATATATGTATATTTATATTTATATATATGTATATATAATATATAATGTGTGTGTATATGTGCTTTTGGTTATCTTTCTTGTGTTTCGTTTGCTTAAGATGTCAAATAAATCAGTTCAAATAAAATAAATTATTATGAGCATTTCAAAATGTATACCAGTATATTTTTTTTCAAGCCTTTGAATTGTGTAAATAAACTTTGATGTTCGGTGTCTGAATAGAGAAGGAACCAGCTTCTTTATAGTGCCCATATAAATTTTCTCAAATCGTGATATTTTGAACTTAGTTTTTGCATCAATAACTATGAGTACAACAACCATAGCAAATGATTTTTGTATTTATCTCTCGCTGAAAATTAGGCAAGGCGAACGCGGCGATGATGTTTGGGTCCACACCCTGGCAATACCGTAACAGCTATGGGGACAGTTGGGACAGTCCCACACATTTTTTCTAATGGGTCCACAAAGAATGGGTCCACATTTTAAAAATGGGTCCAAATTATGCAATTTTATGCATAAAATGAGTCCACCTTTGAAAAAATGGGTCCAGATTTCTCATATTTAGCCTAAAATGTTAAGAAAATATGTCCAGATTTTTCATATTTTTGCGTAAAATGGGTCAACGTTTTAGAAAATGGGTCCACATTATATGAATTTATGTGTCAGTCCACCCTGATTGTCCTGCATTGTAGAAAATCCTGGCTATGGCATTGCACCCTGTGTAGGCTTATATCGATTATTTTCTAAATAGTGTACAACCATTATCATAGTACTGTATAACATGTTTATACATGTTTCAAGGGTTAATCTTGCTCCACTAGGCCTACTCAACCAACTTCATTTACTATCAGCTATTTTACAGAACACCATGAAGGACTCATAATAATCAGCTTATTGAAATGATAACACTATCATCACCAAGGGCAAGTTATCAAAGCGGTAAGGGAATTGGACTTTGATGCGAGGGGTCAAAACCTGCAAATTTCGTTCTTTTGTTCTCGACCTTGAGTAAGATCATTTGCTCTAATGAACTTGACTTTTCTTATTGGATGTTAAGCCGTTGGTCCTATGTCATGATAGCACATTCAGAAAAATAACTCGGTACACTGTACAGTTCTCAGAGGCAAATCCAGATTTCATTTATTTTAACACGGACCATTTACATTTTTGCTATGGTGTAAAAATATCGCTAATGAAGGAGAGGATTGATTTTACTACCATACCTGGTTTCCAAAAACACCAATGGCACAAGCAGTGGACACTTGATCACCTCCGAACCAAGTAGCTGCTACGTGAGCTGGCATACCGAGTATAAACACCTGTGCAACTGAGCATACTGATTGCCCTACAAACGCAAGTGCGAACGTGCTCGGTTTTGCGCCGGCGAACCGAAGCCATCCTCCCAAACAATTTAAACTGCTACCAAGAAGTCCGATAACTTTTAACCCTCGCTTGTCTAACAACCACGTGACGGGAAAAATTAACGGTATATACAATAACATGAAAATCATGGAAAGCCAGTCCACAGCCAAGGAAGAAACATCATAATAGTCAGCTACCACGTTTGATATCGATGCATACTGTATCCACTGAACCGCATTCGTCATAGAAACTAAACAAAATATAGTTAGCATAAACCATCGTCGTGTGTAGACAATCGGCTCATCGTCAAGTTTCGAATCTTCTTCGGTTTTCAAAATACAAGGTGTTGTCGAGTTTTTTCCTTCATGATTTCCTTCTGAATGTTGTAATGCTGGTGTAAGGTGTACTTGCTGTGTGCTGGATTCGACAGCAGCCGAATCAGTAACGAGTTCCGACATTATAGTATTAATTCCAGGCCGAGTAAAGTATAATGGTACCGATCCTTGAGAAGACAGTATGATTACGGTGCGAGGGTCTAGTTACATATGATGCGTGAAACCGATTGGCTGAATGCGCTTTTTCGTTTGTGGACAGTGTACACCAGTCAAATATTGTGACGTTTATATTAATCTCAATAATTCAATTGTATGCTAAGTCAAAACGTAAAGATAGTAGGTTCATGATCTTATAGGGATGTTGTAGTAGATTACGTTCAAAAGCCCAGTTTAGACTATTTAATTTTATTTGACAAAAATGTAACATGCCCATATGGTCATTATGACATCACATCGTGACCATATATAGGCACATCATGACCATATATAGGCACACCATGACTATATATGGGCATACAACAGTTTTTTGTCCAAAAAAATTGATAGTTCGGACAAAGCTTATGGCATTATTTTGAAGATTATGTTTATTTTATTTATTAATTTCAACTTTCTTTTAAGAGGGTACGGTAACCAGTTGAACCCAAAGGCCAGCTGATATCCGGGGGCCCTCTTTAAAATGACAATAATAAAAGTACAAAATCATACAAATATAATATAAAAGTACCTACAATAAAAATTATTGATTAAAAAAAAACATTCTGAATTGAGAAAGCAGTGATAGACAATTTATGATTTAGTCTTTTAGAAAAAAAAATACCTTCTTTGTAAATACAAAACAAATTATTTTTTATTGAAAGACATTTTGGGAGCCAGTAATTGAAAAGTTTGGTTAAATGTTTGCATGAAAATATAAGATGAGGAATGCAGTCGAAACTGAATTTTACATGTAGGTCTAAATATTAAGGTAAAACTAAAACATTGCTATAGCTTATTCTATATTCGTCATATATATTCTTCATTGAGGGTTTTTTTTTTTGTGGTTTAATACGGTCAATTTATTTATTTATAGGCCTATTGTTATTTGATGAGCGTTTGTATCAGCTGCACTACCCTGCGATAGTTGTAATTGCTAATATTATTGAAACTCAATTTTATATTGTTCTATATCCTACCGATTTTATTATGCAATTTTGTAAAGCACTGATATAATAAGTGAATGGTCCATCAAAATTGGGTGATTAAATATGATGAATGCCAATTTTGTAATAAAATTCTTCCCATGTGAATAATTTTGTAATAGCCTAGGCCTAACAGTTATAATGATAATTGGTAAAGGCGTACTCCAACACTAACCTTAAGTATAGGCAAATTCGAAATTTAGTCGGCAAAATAAACACTTTATATAATATTATAGGTCATTCAATGGAATGGGAGTGTATATGTAGAAGTCATATTACTATGGTTATAATGAGAAACTTCATGCAGGACCTATGTTGATTGAAATTCATAATTCCAGGCACGCAAATCCATTCTTGGTTATTTCCTCTTACCTATTACTTCAGGCCTAAACTTTTGCGTGATGCTTTTCACAACCCAGCGTAAGATAACTGCACCTATGTATTCCATGGAATTTTTAGTCTTTATTTGCTTGTACGGTCAGGTAATTTGATGATTGCTTTCCTTGCCCCCCCCCCCGGTTTCATTTGTTCTTTTATATTTGAAATAACGTGGTTGACATATACGATAAAAGTTATTCCTTTAATCCGTTTACTGAGAAGTAGCATATTTGCTTATAAATCGAAAATACTTAACATAATAAGTATTTTTAGTATTTTAAATACATATCATGGCTACATTATAAACGCGTGTAAATCTTCAAATAAACTTTGTATTACAATAATAAATTCCATAATAGGCCTACTGTATAAAAATATTTAAATCTAACATGTTGATACAACATCTCCACTAAAACATGCTTTCTTCTTATCGGTAAAGAAGAGTTTGTTCAGTTTAGTGGAAACTGGTATTTAGTTCCAAAAAAAAAAAAAAAAAAAAAAAAAAAAAGTCGTCATTGGTAACTTAAGGGCTTTGTTGGGGGTACGGTACGTCTGGTTATAATGTCCAGGTTCAAACAGGCCGCTATGTAGGATATAAATCTAGGCCCTATCAGTTGTATCACTTGCATCCTATTTAGTTCATTAAACAGTAGGACACGTACAGAAAAGTACGAGTACACATTTCGTCATATTAACGCGTTTCTTTCAGCCCTTTGAGAAGGTACCGTAGGTTAACCCACTCTTTAGGCTAAATAAAATAATGTCACAATTATAACGTAGGCCTATAAAAATTAGTACAAAAAAGTAAATTTTTGCCGAACCACTATAGAGCTCATAGTTGTATCTTATCCTCAGTGTCTGTTGCGTGAAGCGGATGAGATTTAATGGGACGCTGGTCCACCGCAGGTGCCTCCAGTGGTATCCATTGATACAGCTGGGTTAAATGTATTATATTGTGACATTTCTTTTTTTGTTGATATTTGTGTTACAAACCTTTTTACACGTTTTTATTACAAACAAGATATGTATTTTTTAATTTACTTTTTTTTGGCATTTTTCAAAACAAATAAGTCAAATTATTTTGTTTACAAATTTTTGTGTTATCAAATTATGTTAGTATCTCCTGATTTTAGATACGTTTGAGGACGAAGTAATCCACAGGACGACCAGTCGTCGGAGCTGTTTTTGGCCAAGAAAAAAAAATCCTGATAGTGATTACAATTACAGAATTTGATGCCAGGACTCTGGAATTGGAAGGCAAGCATTTCAACCACTAAACTACAGCTCTATTCCATATGAACTAAATCAATTTCCCATCCTTGTGTTACAGATGTTCTATTCATTGGAAACCATCGGTGGGTAGGTTTGTGAAAATATTAAGCCCCGTCCAGACTATCAAATATTATTTGACAAAAAAATGTGACATGCCTAAATATGGTCATGATGACATCACATCATGACCATATATATAGGCACATCATGACTGTATATGGGCATACAACAGTTTGTTTATAAAAGAAAATTTTATAATCTGGACAGGTCTTAACTCATACTCTTGAATTGTACAGTATTTTTGTAAGTTGTTCGCTTGTGAGTGTACGTTTTTTTTTGTGTGTGTAATAAGTTCATTTTGAATGGCCGGATTTTCGTTTGTAAAAGTAGGCTACGATCTTCGTTTGTAAATGTACGTTCGTTTGTAAAAGTACGTTGTCTGTTGGTAAAAGTACGTTGTCTGTTGGTAAAAGTACGTTGTCTGTTGGTAAAAGTACATTGTTCGTTTCACTTTTGTATTTCTTACGCCGTAAATGTTGAAATATGTATCTGTAGCCTATAGCTCTTAAAGCCAGGCCCTGGTGATAAAAATGTGGTTACGCCCTCTCCTCTCCCAACCCCCGTGAATATTCAAAAATCTGTATCTCATTAACCGCTTCGGAGTTATTCGCCAAATATGGTTTTTGTGTTTTAGAAAAATCCACATGTCAAAGGAAAATTTTTCCTGCGGAGCCTGGCCTTAAAAAATGTCACCATATAGGGTCGTGCCTCTAGAGTGGTAGGGAAACTATAGGTCGCGACCTAAGGAAGACATTTTTGTTGGGTCGTGTCATTATTTACAAAAAAATAAAAAATAAAATCCGGAGTCAATTTTAGAGGGTCTCTTTATCGATATGCCTGATCGCAATATAAAGCATGTTTAGAGTCTATGCACCTTATTATTATTTTAAAAAATTCAAGTCACATTAACATTTTACCATAGGCCTAACCTTAATGTTTGATAACTATATTCGCCATGCCGTTGTATGTTTATGGCCAGCAAACGGTACCTCGTATCTCATGGATTTTATGGTTTGGGATAGTCCAAACAAACATTAACAATTAACAAAATTAACAATCACAATAATTTTGTTTGGATCGGCAAAATAATATTTTTATTCCTCATTAATTAACAAGAACAGTTTAAAGTTGCCGTACTGAATATCATGTTTTCTTCTATTATCAGAATAAACATGTCTTATAACAAGGATATATTTTCACTAATATTACGAACTTATTGGGGTATATTGATAATAAGTTAAGGAATAAAACGTTTTCTCAATTCATCTTCTACATTATCATATGAACATAAATAAATTATTATAAGACCCATCGACATGACGAGCTATCTTCACAATAAATAGACAGTTTGGGGATCCAGCAAATGAAAATGTAATATTAATTTTGCATGTCATGGATGAAACTATGTATGTTTAAAATGTTTATAAATATGTCTTGATGTGAAAACGAATTGAAATGCAAAGTCATTCCAGCGAGTGTTCAGTAATGATTTAAACTGGTTCAAACTACTACGTTAACAACCTCATGCGGAAGACTATTCTATGGATCTACACTGTCTACATCCAAATGAAAATGTTCTTACATCCAACCGAGATCTACTTTTGTATAATTTAAAGTCATGACCTCTAGTCATATTATGTTTAAATTGGAAAACATATACTCAACATTTACATTACTAAATTCGCGTGTACACTAAAAACGGTAGGCCTATCAATTACCTTAAACGTAGGCTATCAACAAGAAGCAGGAATTCACAAGTTATTGAAAAGTGGTACCAAAAGACAGGTATTTTAGATTAGACAGGGGCTATTGTTAATTTGACAGTTACATCTTTCGTAAACAAACTCCTAATTTTGATTGGATGTTATTGTTTTAATCCAACCATGCATGGAATAGCATCCAACCAGAGTTAAGCTTCCTATTTCAAATACACCGGTATAAATATTGCTGTTTCTTGGTCCGTTTCGTCTATTCTTCTAGTGTGAGCAGCGGAGGAGGGTGTGAACGGAGAGAGATACAGTGGGTGAGTGCCACAGTAAGCTTTAATAAGGTTAATGTTAATAAATACAATAATATACTGTTAGAAGTTACTCTGACGGAGGTCAGAGGACAGGTCGATAATTGCTAGGCCTACGGTTGGATTAGTCCTTATAGCGACAGGCTATACAGTATCATTTTGGGTAAATTAATGGGATTAGAAAGAGGCAGGCTTATAGATTAGGCCTACTTTTCTACCACATACCATCCATCCATGTATGGAATCAATTTTTCAAAGTTATTCCTGCAGTTACTAAAGTTGCTCGTTTTGTATTGCAGGTTTTGCAAGTGGATGTCATTTAAACTGGCTTTCATGGGCACAAAAACAAAAAACAAAAAACACACAAATTGTTGCGTCAGTCTGGCAATTTCTGGCGCCAACACTGGTTATAGGCCTGTTGTTTTTGATTACAGTACATGTTATTTGACTTCTGGCATCTATATTTAACCATCCTCTATCTTATTTCATTTCATTGCATTTCATTTTTATTTCACTTATTCGAATACAACATCATGCATCTCTTATTCTCTTAATATGCACATAATCAGCACATCAGTATATATAGAATATAATTACTTCGTAGGTTTATTTTATTACTGTTATTTTAATTAGAATATTTTATCAATATTATTATCGTAATGTTTATCTTTTTATTGTTATTGCTATATTTTATTGTTGTATTTTATTATTATTGTTACGTTAGGAATCACGTAGACTTCGTAGAAGCCATTAGTCAAATTTCAAATATTCATTTAGATATAAATAAACTATTGGCATTTTATACTTATACAGTCAACTGGAGTATTTCGACGTTTGCACCTTTTTATCCTCTTTGACGTGTTGATTTGATGAACGCCATCGCGTCTTCGAGCATCCAAGCATCAATCATAGTAAGAACTAATATGTGTTGAAATCAATAAGGTAATATATAATACCTACATAGTACCTTTTTGGTTAAAATGTGATGTTTCCTCCATTTCTACTAACACACAGGGTTAGACATTAGGCTTTTCTTTTTCAGGGCAAGGAAGCTAATAATTAGATATCCTGACGTACAATATTAATAATAGGCTATATTTTATATTGAAAACAATGTTTAATGATTATTGTTTCATACCGTACAAAATTGCAATGATAATCGATGCCCCCTCCATGGATTCCATGGATAAACATCCAGTATAGACATTTTCATTACCATGCTAGGCCACTGCGATGCTTGTAGGGAATTTGACAACATTAGATCCTATATCCAAAAACATGTTGACAACATAATTTATCATATATAGAGCATCAATTAGCATATTTATGAATATGTTTATGTAGGGTATGCAAATTGTACTAACACTTAGGCAGATATAGGATAAAACAGTTGTTGTTGTTCAATTACGTTGATTATATGCAAATGTGACGGAACCACAGGTAAGTTACTAACACAGCAAGACATCGCTTCGAGCATCTAAGCATCAAACCAAGTAAGTCAACTAATCACTATAATATTGTTTTGTACTAATATCGTATCCAATACCCATCTTGTCAACCACTTCCACAATCATAGTATTTTTAAAATGTTTTTTTTTTATTTGTGCCAATAGTGGGTTAGGTCAGTGTTTGTTAATCATTGGTAGTAGGTGCTGCCTCAATGCGTCTCCAATTGTATCCCTGTGAAATTGTTGCAATAAATATGTACATCTGTCTAAACAAGTGTGTCTTGACTCTCTATATTTGTATCTGTGTCGTAATAATAAATGTTATGGTCAGCCCCATATACCAATCATTGTATCCCTATGAATTTGTTTCAATAAATTGTTACCAGAACATGCGTTTATGGCTCGTTTATTTAACATTAAGAAGTGAGTTTTCATTTTTGTCTGAATTTGTATTGAATTGTAATTTTATAAAATTTTGATGTAAAACCATTGTTAAACTTCAGTTTATGTAAATTATATAACTTAGGAATATCGTATTTATCACTGATACATGAATGCAAGGTTTAGACCTATAACTAATCGCATGTCCTTTATTTCAGAAATAATAATGTTGTTGTCCACAGACAGTATCAATGCGACAAATACCTTGTGTATTGCAGGTATTTGAATAAATCAATATATTCCTTCAATATAGGCCCTATTCATTAAATACGTATTTTATAACATTAAATTATATTTTATTTAAAAAAAACATCATGAATCTAGGGCTATAATATACTATGATTTCATCTGTCCAATACATTTAATGATTTTCATTTCAGAAAAAAAATCTAGATTTTGATAATGCGTGTGAATTTCCGAATCACATCAGTTTGCTACGTAGACTCGTGCATCTTCTCCTGATAGAGAACTGTCAACATAAAATGAGGACGATAACTAACGATAATGCGGATAACGAGGATGATGTTGATGTCATGATGGCGATAGAAATCATGTTGGTGATTAATAGTAATTGTATGGTGATGGAAAGTTACGATATTATGAAATGCTAAGGTGAGTTTCAATGTGGCTTTTTATTAATTGCTTGTTTGATTATGCATTCTTTTCCAAATGACGGGGCTGCAACAGTGGCGTATCTAAAGGGATATGGAGGGGTGGGGTGGTGGGTCGCATGCCCTCCCAACTGAAATTTTCAAAGCGAAGGGATACCCTCAATTAGTAGTTAAAAAATCACCTCATACCAACTTATTTTGCCAGCTAGCGCTACTGACTATATTATCATCGAGCCTTACCACTTCACCGTTCCCCTTCCCATCTTTTTCAATACCCCAACCTTTGGGCTGAAACCCATTGTGTAAAGAAAATGCCCTTATATTGTGGATGAACAAACTTGATGGAAAAAAAAAATGTTGTGATATGTTTGTTGCTGTGACAATTATGCGATTAATAATTATTTAGATTCCTATCTGTATAGTTCCAACCAATTTGGTTATTAGATCAAACCTTTTATTTCAGAAATATTAATTTTGTTAAAAGCTCATTCAACAGTAGGCCCATCAAGGTAACAAATACCTGTGTATTATTATGCAGATTACAGGTATTTTTTCACAGAAAACGTGATAATTTGGACAGAGCTTATTGTTAGATTGTAAATGTTATCGAAATTATTTTTTTATTTCGATGTTTTTTTGTTTTTTTTTATAGTTTTTGTATAACCAATTTTGTTTTATTATTCTTATGAATTCTTTTTATAGGTATTTGTAATTTTATTAATTGCCACCTATGCATGTGTGCGGAATAAATAAGTATATTCCTTATGTTTGTCTGCTCTTTATAGGATGCCCCTTCAATACATATTTTATAACTTTTTTTTTAAATATTTTAGAAAAAAAAACCTGGTGATTTTGATAATGATACTTTTATTTAATTTTTTTTTTAATGGTGATGGAGCGGACCGGCGTGCCTAATACCAGGACCCAGGAATCGGATTCGTCTGGTTCATCAGAAGAACAACACCCGTTCAGATGGAATGAGCCAATCTGGTCGATTTAATTTAGAGAATTCGAGTACGGTACCGTATGTTTGCAAGAAGAGAACGTTATTAAACTCTGAATTGCACTTTAATTAAATTACGACTAAGATATATAAGGTTAGACCTAGGGCCTACTTGTCTTTGTAGTTGATAACTAAATATTAAACATGGGCTATATAATGGTATTTAATAATAATTATTAAAATATACTATCCTACATTAAAATACTATATGATAAACAATATTACGCATTACAGATTCATTAATACTATTGCTTCTTTTTCATTTTGTATAATTTGTCATCCTACTTGTAGTTGGTTTGTTTTGTACGTAATACACTTTCATCATTCATCTAACCCTAGCCTAGTCCACCCTCTCTCATATCTAACTCAGGTTAGTCTATAGTTAGGTTGTAGTTAAGTCAGGTTAGCTTGATATATAGGTCGTTGTTTAGGTAGGTTACATTACTTAACGTCAATTCAATGTATCTTAACAACAATCAGGCATTGCTTCACATTTTGCACGTCCAACCAAATAGTGTATTATACAAATACTATTAAACAATAACACTTTACAAAATAATTAAATAGTGTATAGGCCTAAAGCTATTCTATGTTCAAGAAAAGGTTATCTACCCCTGAGTAAATAGGTATTCCACTAAGGCTGTCTCTTATACACATCTATATATACTTGTTTGATGAAGGATCGACGTGAAGAGAGTGTAAGAGGTCTGGTGCATAAAGCTTGGTTTTCATACAATCGCTGCACGCTAAATCGCGAGGCCGAGCGACTTTCTGTGATGCCGATTGGTCTGTCGAATCGGAGAGCCTTCCCGATTGCGTCGGGCACTACGCAGTACAACGATTGCACTGAAAAGACTAGCGACAGTGTAGCGATTTTATGGAAATCACGCTTAAGGGAGAGAAAATGGTCTTTAATTGGAGGGTCTTATGCACTACATAAAATACAATAATAAATAATCCACTGAAGATAAAAATAGATTTCAAAGTTTATTAGTCACTTTTAATATTGTACCACTAATTTAAGGTGATAAGAATATATTATATCTCAAGCTATGAAAACTATACTATTAACAGGAAAAGATGTCAGAGAAATTACAATAACTTCTTTATTTAATTGTACAATCTGAATTTAAAGACATTTCAGAAGGTTTTCTCCATTAATTTATACCACAATTTTTTTTAAATTTTGGGTTACTATGTACAATCTAAATTGGACTCCAGAAAGACAAGAATTCAAACACAATACAATGTATTCGCAATTAATATTCACCCATCGGAGAGTAACGTTTGCGCTGGATCAGTGGCTTGTACAAGTCAGGACTCTCAGCTCGTTCCTATCGGCTTTTTGGCGCACTCACTAAATTTTACAATATCGCAGTTATCATTTCGACTGGCCTAGCTTGGGTAAGTGGGTGGCGTTTCAACAACACTGATGGAATCCATGGTTTTATGTTAACTTAAAAAAGAGGTAGGGCGCCCACTATGTTAGTAGAAATCAATACCGCGTTCCAAAATCATCTCGAAGTCTCTCGTTGTGTTAAAGTGGGAGGATGAAACTCAAACATTCGCACCCAATACGTTCGTTTAGAATGAAATGTAGCCTAATGTAATCGATTCATAATAGCACATTAGGCGTGGAATAGTTCTTACAGTAGACGGATATAAAATTCAATGGTACATAAACCCGAGGAAAGAAAGTGACATTTCACTACGAAAATACTTACATTTTTGGCCAAACAATTTAAAGTTGTGTTTAGAAATTGATTGGGTATAATGTTGGACGGTGGAGCTCGATGATTAATAGAATGGGCGCTAGGTTGGAAAATAAGGTAATATCGAATGACTTTTAATTACTTCAAAGTGATTTTTTTTTTTTTTTTTTTTTTTGTGGACATTTTCAATCGGCGGGGCCGAGCTTTTTGGGTAGGGTCCACGTCTACTATACGCCACTGTTTCAGCACCAGCTCTTTCTATTTATCGTCCACCAACACGCTGAAGAAGGACCTCATCTCCATCTCAACTAAACTACCACAAGACAATTTGTCATTATAACTGAAATTCATCAGTAGTGTAGCATTCGCTATTTTTTATATCAGCTAAAAGGTCGGGAAATTACCCTTTCCTTGAAACAATCCTTATACTTCGAATTAAATGTGTTATGTACGATTTTCTTTGTTAATGTTATGTCTCAATGCCGTAGCCAGCTATTGGGACAGTCCCATACAATTTTCTGTTAGGTTAACAAACAATAGGTCAACATTATTTTTAAAAATGGGTCTAAATTAATCTGTTTTATGCAAAGAATGGGTCCTGATTTCTCATATTTTGCATAAAATTGGTAAACTTTTAAGACAATGGGTCCACAATTTTCATTTTTTTTTAGTGTAAAATGGTTTAACTTTTAAGAAAATGGTCCACATTATTATTTGAATTTACACGTAAAGTGGGTCCACCCCGATATTGTCCTGCACTGTTTGAAAATCCTGGCTACGGGACTGTATGTACTGTTGCTTTTTAACAATCCGCCAGACTGGCGCATGATGTCTTGTTTTGTAAATGTGTCTACTGGAAAATAAATGAATTGCATTGAATTGAATGTTATGTATTGCCATGAGGTAAACTTTGAAGAAAGGCTACATCAGCGCTAAACACAACTTATGTGAAGACGCCCTGCAGACTGATAAGAACAAAATATGAATATTAAATAGGCCTATGCCTAATGTCTTCTGGTTTCTGTTTGCTGTTATGTGGAATGCAATTTTGGCATTTTCTAAACCATTTGCTTTTGTATTGTATATCCTATAATATTGACTTTTATCCTAAAAAATGTTGTTGATGGTGATTTATGAGCTATAGGGCTGGATTTCTTTGAAAACTATGTAGATATTTAACTTGATCAAACTAAAGTATCTCATTTATGAATCGGTTCTTGAAAAAACAGTTACACGTTATAGTAAATAGGCTAGATATACTAATAATAATGCAAATTGATCTATATACAGTAAACCCTCCTTTGGGACACCACTATTTAGGGTAGATTTTTTTTCTGACACGAAATGAGGGAAAGTACTGTGTATGTTTTAAAAGTACCTCAAACCTCTACTCAAAAGGCACCTTAATAGGGGCGCTACTGTACCTACACATGCAACTTTATTGTTGCATATATTAGCATATAGACCAGCAAATAGATCTATGTCGCCACGAGAGCCAGACCCATACCTTGTACCCAAACCCCCATAGAATTCCCACTTTTTTTACCGCGTCAGAAATTCAGTGTCCTATCAAAGGAAACAAATGTCCTCTTGACAAGAGGTGAATAAACTCCATGATGACGTATGACACAGTTCTTGACACTGAATTTTAAATAGTGTATAGGCCTAAAGCTATTCTATGTTCAAGAAAAGGTTATCTACCCCTGAGTAAATAGGTATTCCACTAAGGTGTGTGCGGTGTACTACAAAGCACATTTCGGATATCACGAAGGTGATTATGGCTTGTGGTTGATATCTATTATTCTCTACTACCGCCATCTATAGTCAACAAACATGTTTATATTGTCATATTATTATTGGATAAACATGATAAAAATTAAATATTCCAAAAGCAAAAGTCTAGACCCGGAAAATACCTCAAGTAGGCTATATTATCTTTTAAATCTAAGGCCTATAGGTTTCCAAGTAGGCCTACGGTACGTATAGTCTGTTATTCACAATGCGTCAAGAACAACGCTGTTCCGCGTTGTGCATAAGAGTGGGAAATCAGTTGCTCCCAACGAAGCTCAATTGTCTGAACTGACGTCAAGATCACGAATGTGAATTCAGGTTCGAGAAAAATTCTCGCAGATTCACCATATAGATTACTGTATGTGGATCTATTGTATCAAAACTTTTTATCCTTTATGTTATTATCATATTATAATCATAAAATAGTTTCACAAGACAAGAAAGAAAGAGGCTATACTTTATCCCTGTCTCTTATACACATCTAGATGTGTAT